TGGTGTGTGGTGTGTGTGTATATATTATGTATATAATATATTATATATATTATATATATAATATATATATATATATATACACACACACTTAATGTATAATATGTATTCAAAATAATTTTAAAATATTATTTAACCCCTAAACATGAAAAAATTTTATATTTTAAAAAAAGATACAATTTGATAAATATCATAAATTAATTATTACAATATCATTTATGTTTACAATGAGAATAATTAAAAAAAAATTCAAATATGTGAATCAAGATTTCAAAATAAAATTAATATACATTACAAATAAAATATAGCATGATTAGATTTAATTTAACTAGTTTTAATTTCTTTAATAAAATCATTTTTCTTTATCAGTTTTTTATGGGAGATTAATGGCGTGTTTGGGTTGCTGAAAAATATTTTTAAAATAAAAATAATTTAAAATTTTTTCAACCCATAAACATGTGAAAATTTTATATTTTAAAAAAGATATAATTTGATAAATATTTAAATTAATTATTGCAATATCATTTATGTTTACCATGCGAATAATTAATGAAAAAAATAAATAATTCAAATATACTATTAATAAAAGTAAAATCCTCATTTTCAACATTCCCGCCCAAATTAATATGAATATTAATTAAATAGTAAAAAATTAATAAAGCTTAATTGGTGACAATAATATTTCTAATTGAGTAATTGACTAATTAACTACAATGAAAAAAGAAATTGTCATGATCATTGCATTTTATTTTTTTTTTTTTTAAAAAGGAACAAAAATTAAAAATTAGACAGAAATATTTCAATAATATTATACATCATCAATAGGAAATGCATATTTTAAAGTTTAAACAATATAAAGGTAAATTAAAAATATAACGAAAATATTTCAATAAAAATATTATACATCATTTTAAAATGGAACGAAAATTAGGTAAAAATATCACTGCATCTAATAGTCTAATTGACTAATTGACTAAAAAAAAAAGAATAATTGGCTGAAAAATGAATCTGGTATTACTAATTGACTGAAAATATAAAAAGGATCACTAATTGACTGATATTCTACCATTATATATTTTCACCCGAGTCACCCCATCCTGATGGGACTGATGGTGTTAGCTCTAGACGAAGATGGGCAAGATTGTGTTGCTATTACCAATGTTGTCTATAAAGATGTTTCAATAATGTGTAAATACAATCGGTGATATTCTTTTTTTTTTTAATGGCAAAATTGCTATATATCTAGACAAAAAAATATATTTTTCATACAAATGAATTAGGATATCAATTCATTTTTATAACTGAGTTGCTAAAGAATGAGCACATTTGCCTAATTTATAAAAATACTGAACAATGATAAATAAAATCTCCAAAGCTACAACACCGCGTGCGTACATCTACACATTAGCTATTAATTTGAGCAATTATTTGCTCAAATTCAAACAATGATAACATCAAACACAAAGGATCCAAACCATACCTTCAAGTGCACTATATAATATTTGATGTTATAATTTAAATAATTATATATTGATCCAAATATTCTTAATATATTACAACAAATTCATTTCCTGCATCGCACGGGTGAAAATACAAATAATAGTAATAATCCAAACAAAACTAAATACAAAATAAAATTAAAATTAACCAAAAAAAAAAGGAGAAGAAGAAGAAGACAAAGGGGAGCCACGAGCTCCCTTTGTAAATGATGTGAGATCATTTTAATCCCACATTGAAAATGTTTGAAAAGAGGAGCTCTTGAGCTCTTCTATATAAGAGGTACAAAGATAATTGTTTGTCCATCAATGTGGCAAGTATTGAGAAGTCAAAATGTTCATATTTAAGAAACCTTAGCGCTTTTTTTTTTTTTTTTTTTTTTTTTTTTTTTTTTTTTAGTTTTTCATTATTTATTTATTTATTTATTATTAGTGGGGTTTGGGAAAGATTAACTCAAAATGTATGTGTTGTTTTAGTTTTTAGCAGTTTGGAGCGAGCAAATTATTGAGTTATTAAATAATATTTTGGTGTTTTGATTAAAGATAAATTGTTAAAATAGCGAATTTGTTAAAATTTTGACGAAATTGTCAATAATAATAATAATAATAATAATAATAATAATAATAATAATAATAATAATAATAATAATAATAATAATAATAGTAGTAGTAGTAGTAGTAGTAATAATAATCCAAACAAAACGATATATAAAATAAAATTAAAATATATATAAAAAAAAAAAAAAGACAAGGGAGCCCATGGCTCCCTTTGTAAATGATGTGCGATCATTTTGATCTCCAGCTCCTCTTACCAACAAGTACTGAGAAGTCCAAAGTTTTTTTTTTTTTTTTTTTTTTTTTTTTTTTTTTTTTTTTTGAGAAGGAAATATTCAATAATAATATTTTTACATCATCAAATAGTAAATGCATATTTTAAAAAATAGTAAAGGTAAATTAAAAATGGAACGAAAATATTTCATTAATAATATTCTACATCATCAAATCAAAATGGAACAAAAATTAAGTAAAAACATCACTGCATCTATATTATAATTGACTAATTGATTGAAAATAAAAAAGAATAATTGATTGAAAATGAATCTAATATTACTAATTGACTGAAAATATAAAAGGAAATGAATATTAATAATTGATTGCAAATAACAAATGATTCATAATTGACTAAAATAAAAAAAGAAATGGTCAGATCATTGCATTTTAATTAAAAATTGAAGGAAAATATTTTAATAATAATATTCTACATTATCAATAGTAAATGCATATTTTAAACAATAGTAAAGGTAAATTAAAAATGAAATAGAAATATTTCAATAATAATATAAACATCATTCAAATAAAAATGGAATGAAAATTAGGTAAAAATATCATTGCATTTGATATTCTAATTGACTAATTGACTGAAAATATTAAAAAAATAATTGACTAAAAATGAATATGATATTACTAATTAACTGAAAATATAAAAGGATAACTAATTAAGTGATATTCTACCATTATATATTTTCACCCAGGTAACCCGTCTTGATGGATTGAAAGTGTTAGCTCTAGATGAAGATGAACAAGATTGTGTTGTCACTCCCAATGTCGTCTACAAAGAGGTTTCAATAATGTGTAAATATAATCGGTGATATTAAGTTTTTTTTTAAATGAAAAAAATGCTATATATCTTGACAAAAAAAAATATATCTTCCATACAAGTGAATAATGATAGCAATTCATTTCTATAACTGAGTTGTTAGATAACAAGCACATTTGCCTAATTTATGAAAATACTAAGCAATGATAAATAAAATCTTCAAAATATAGCACCGCATGCGTACATCTAAATATAGCTATCAATTTGAGCAATTATTTGCACAAATTCAATCAATGATAACACCAAAATATATAAACGATCCAAATCATATCTTTAATTGTACTATATTATATTTGATATTCTAATTTAAATAATTATATATTGATTCATATATTATTAATATATTACAACAAATCCATTCCGTGCATCGCACGGGTGCAAATACTAGTAGAGATTAAATCTAAATACTCTCATATAAATTTCAAAGCAACAAGTTTCAAAATTTGTGACATTGTATTATTATAAATTATAATAATAATAAAATTTACAATTCGTGCCATAAATAATTTACTACTTTCATTTAAATTCGACACAAATTATTGTCACTTAAAGAGTTGAAGTTGAATCATCCCTGAACACTGATCTTCATCCTAACATTCTACCCTGTAAAATCATATTGTACCAAATTAGAAACTAATCAATCCACATTAATGCACCAAAGGTAGCGTTATAAAATTAAAATTACTTTTGGTATGAAATTTGAATCTTTCCAACAATTCGCAATGCATCAGCTTGACCCGGCTCTGCCAATGCACCAAAAGCAATTTCACTCAACTCAAACCAAACCGGAACATTGTTGCATACACCAGAACATTCATCTGTAATATGAATTTTTATTGGATTTCCTGTACACCTAGGATTTGAGTTGCATTTTACCTGAAATGTACAATTGATTCCCTTGAGAATTATTAAACTAAACACATATCAACAAAACAAGACAAATTAAAGGAGATCAATCTGTAACTTAGTAACAAGTTACACTTTGTCTCATATACTACATCTAAATTCGAATCTCATAATTTCTTATCTTATTAAATGTATTATAAAAATACATAATAAAATATATTTGTTTTATCATATTAGCAAATATCATGGGTAAAGCATATCATCTAGTTTATATACCAGGTACCACTGTCCACAGCCTTTGCCATCTTGGTATAAAGCTTGATTTCCAGCCGCTATTAAGGAGTTGTATAGAGGATTGCTTACGTTTCCAAATCCACAAGTTCCAGTATCTACAAAATAATTGAATTAAAATAATAAAATTAATATAGTACGCTTCACACAATGATATTGGATCGGAGCAATATAATAATTTAATGCATATAATATACTCATAATAAATAAATATACCAATTCTATGTCTATTGGGTGGACCGTACCATGTTGCAATAGCAAGTTCAAAATCCAACTAAAGTTGTATTATGAAACGAATTTCTACATAAACAAATGTTAAAGAGAGTGAACTGTAGGAACCGTTGGTAGAAAACAAATAATAATCAAATAAAAAATTGACTATTATTTTCTGGAAAGAAGGGAAGAAAAATTTGAAGAAAAATTGGCTAGTGTTTGGTGTTGGGTTTATGCAAGAGTCAAGTGTGCACTCTTTCCTTAAAACCTTATTTGCCACCTCCCGTAGATGCTAGGAGCGTTGTGGCCTAGGCTTCCCAGGATAAAACTTGCTATGATCCAATGTTTGAGCATTCAAACAAAGGATCCGGCGAGCAAGACAATGGCTATGAACACAGTATGGCTTAAAGAAAGAGTAGAAGCAGAGAGGTTTTGAGGCTAAAAGATGAACTTTCGTGTTCTATATTTTCTGTGTAAAACTCTACTGCCCAACTCCTCTTTTTATAGGGGTGAAGGATTTAATAGCTTTTAATTAGGCACTTAAGGGCACCCCTTCACCTTCCTGTAACAGCACCATTAGCATGGCCTTCAATTCAAAATTTAAAATTGGAATTAACTCAGAAAATTAATTCCGTAACAGTAGAATTGAAGAGCCAACGGTCAGAAACTGTACAGGTTCGTGTAGGCCGAAACTTCCAGTTTCGACCCCAGGCCGAAACTGGAAGTTTCGGCCATGGGTCCCAAGTCTCGGCCCAAGTGGCCGAAACTATGGCAACTACCTAGTTTCGGCCACTTGGCCGAAACTTTGGTAGTTAGGCCGAAACCTCCCAGGTTTCGGCCACACCCAGTGGCTTGTGTTGGAAAATTTATTCCGAAGTTTGGCATAACTTAGCCCGCAAGGCCAGCCAATTTCCGGACGACATTCGTGCCGGCAGGTGCCGGCGCACACGAGCTCGGGCTTGAATCAAGCCTTTTCAATCTCTGCTAGTTGGAATTTGATTTGCACCCCCCCCCCCCCCCGCGCGAGAGAGCCTCTATGCTATACAATTCTACAAGCTTCAAAAGAGCTCTTGTATATAAGGGGGGAAAATCTTCATTCCAAAGCAATGTGGGACAAAAGCTCACTTTTTCCCTTCATTTTCCAACTCAAATGGGTCTAATTTAATGCATATAATATACTCATAATAAATAAATATACCAATTCTATGTCTATTGGGTGGACCGTACCATGTTGCAATAGCAAGTTCAAAATCCAACTAAAGTTGTATTATGAAACGAATTTCTACATAAACAAATGTTAAAGAGAGTGAACTGAATCAATATCTCATTCACCCATTATCCGTTTTGAGCGTACAATATATCGATCTCTTCGTCTCACTACGAAGAATCCGAATCCACTTTGACCCGACCCAAATCGGAAGTGGACCCCACTGATAATTGTACCACAAAATAGCCACTTAACATGTCATTTTATGCCATTTTAAGCTATTTTTTCCAACAATCCCCCACATGAATGAAAAATTGATTTTCGGGGTATTTTGAAATCGGAAACAATTGTGTTCAAACGGTCAATCCCTGCATAGGATAGGTAGGGAGTCACTATACCCTTTGAACCTTCCCTCGTGAAGATATGTTTACTCTACTGGCTGTACGGTAGAACGCGATGTCTTTGAACCGACTGCCGTTTGTGTAGACGATGACATATCTCACACAGGAATCTCCCAACCATGCTCTTGCTCTCATGAGTGTGCCTATTTTGGTCGTGGGTCACCGTTCCTGGTTCTGCGAGAGTTTCTAAAGAATTGTGCCCAACAATTCTCCTTTGAAGCGACCCTCACTTCTCTCTAACATAGGTGATTCTTTCTCGAGTATCCCGCATACTCAAGAATCATTAAAGCATTCATATGCTGGCCTCTTGCGGGAGTCACTGTTTTAACGAGGAGTGGTAGGGAGTCCGAGACCCCCACAGTGACGCGCTCCGTTCCATAATTTAGTTGTCCCATTGAACCTAGGTGCCAGCTAGGTTGGGTATCCACTATAGAACTTTTTAGTCCAAGGGCAGTAGACCCATTCCTCGTGTCAACTTCTCCACAACTTCTCTTCCTAACCCTTTGGTCAGCGGATCCGCTATATTGTCTTTTGACTTTACGTAGTCAATCGAGACAACACCAGTTGTGAGCAGTTGTCTAATGGTATTATGTCTACGACGCACATGTCTAGACTTACCATTATACATATGACTCTGTACTCTCCCAATTGTGGCTTGACTATCGCAATGCACACATATTGGAGGTACCGGTCTTTCCCAATTAGGAATATCCTCTATAAAATGGCGTAGCCATTCAGCCTCTTCACAACCTTTGTCCAAGGCTATCAGCTCAGATTCCATCGTGGATCTAGCTATCACAGTTTGCTTAGAGGATTTCCATGCAACGGCTGCACCGGCTAGTGTAAACACGTAGCCACTCGTGGACTTAGAGTCCTTAATATCAGATATCCAATTCGCGTCGCTATACCCTTCAAGTACAGCGGGATATCTCCCGTAGTGCAGTCCAAGATCACGAGTATACCTCAAGTATCTCATAACCTTTACTATTGCCTTCCAGTGCATAGCACCGGGGTTACTCGTATATCTACTGAGCTTACTAACCGCATAGGCAATATCCGGCCTAGTACAGCTCATAAGATACATCAAACTACCAATAACCTGAGCATATTCCACTTGTGAAATACCTTCTCCGTGGTTCTTGGTTAGATGAATGTTTGTATCAAATGGTGTCCTAGCCACTTGACTATCATCCTTGTTAAATTTCTCAAGGATTTTGTCAATATAATGTGATTGGCTCAACACGAGACCATCAGGTCTTCTAATGATTCTAATCCCGAGGATTAAATCGGCCAAACCCATATCCTTCATGTCAAATCTCGTATTTAACATGTTTTTGGTAGACTTGATCATCTGATCATTACTACCAACGATGAGAATATCATCGACATATAAACAAAGGATGACGTAGCCGTCTATCGTTTCCTTAACGTAGACGCATTTGTCACTTTCGTTTATTTTAAACCCGTTAGTTAACATCGCATGGTCAAACTTCTCGTGCCACTGCTTAGGCGCTTGTTTTAAACCATAAAGCGATTTAACCAACTTACACACTTTCCTCTCTTGGCCCGGAACCACGAACCCTTCAGGTTGTTCTATATAGATTTCCTCATCTAATTCGCCATTTAGGAAAGCGGTCTTCACATCCATTTGATGAACTTCCAAGTTCCGCAACGCGGCTATGGCAAGTATCATCATAATGGAGTTTATTCTCGTCACGGGAGAATACGTGTCGAAGTAATCGAGGCCCTCGCGTTGCTTGTAACCCTTGATTACAAGCCTAGCCTTATACTTTTCGATGGAACCGTCCGGTTTCATCTTCCTTTTAAAGACCCACTTGGATCCTAAGGGTTTACTACCCGGAGGAAGATCAACCAGTTCCCAAGTGTGATTCTGTAGAATAGAATCCACTTCACTTTTTATAGCCTCTTTGCACATTGGTCCTTCCGTAGAAGTCACGGCTTCTACATACGTTCGAGGCTCGTTCTCTATCAAACAAGATAGAAAATCGGGTTCATTTTCTAATAAACAAGTTAGAGTACTCGAATCGTACTCCAACAAGTAAGTTAGAAAATCAGGACCAAATGATTTTCCAACTCTCACCCGCTTACTGCGTCTTGGCTCGAGCTCGGGTTCTCTCTCGGATTCCCCACTATCATTATCCATAGCTTCGTCAAACGTTCGTTTTGACGAACTCGTTCCCTCATTCGACCTACAAGGAAATACATTTTCAAAGAAAGATGCATTCCTTGATTCTATTATCGTGTTCTCGTGTACGTCCGGATTATGGGACTCGTGTACTAAGAACCGATAAGCACTACTATTATGTGCATAGCCAATAAAGATACAGTCCACCGTCTTAGCACCTATCTTTACTTTCTTAGGTGTTGGCATCAAAACTTTGGCAAGACACCCCCACACTTTCAGGTACTGGTAGGAAGGTTTCCTACCGTTCCACAGCTCATAAGGAGTCTTATCGAGCTTCTTTCGGGGTACCTTATTCAAAAGGTAATTACTTGTCAAAATCGCCTCACCCCAAGCATCTTGAGGTAGGCCCGAACTTATAAGCATCGCATTCATCATATCTTTCAATGTACGATTCTTTCGTTCGGCAACACCGTTCGATTGAGGTGAGTAAGGTGCAGTACGCTCATGTATTATACCTACACTCGCACAGAAGTCACCAATAGGTGCTTCGTACTCACCACCTCTATCGCTTCTAACCTTCTTAATTCTCCGATTAAGTTGGTTTTCCACTTCATTCTTATAAAGAACGAATTTATCAACGGCTTCATCTTTGCTCTTAAGCAAATACACATAGCAGTATCGTGTGCTATCGTCGATAAATGTGATAAAATACTTATTACCACCTCTCGTTTGTATCGATCTAAAATCGCACAAATCACTATGGATTAATTCTAGTGGTTCAGTTTCCCTTTCAACCGACTTGAAAGGTACTTTCGTTAGTTTTGCCTCAACACAAATTTCACACTTGTTATTTGTGTCAATTTGAAAGTTAGGAATATGGTCCATGCTAATTAATCTATGCATAGAATTAAAATTAACATGACCTAGTCTACCATGCCATAAATTGGAAGACTCAAGCAAGTAAACAGAATTAACTTTGCTTTTATTGATAACAGGAATTACACTGAGCTTAAACAGCCCATCAGTTACATATCCTTTACCAACAAACATTCCTAACTTGGACAAAACTACTTTGTCTGACTCGAACACCATGCGAAAGCCATGCTTGTTCAACAGAGAGCCAGACACAAGATTCTTCCTCAGCTCAGGAACATACAGCACGTTGTTCAACGTCAGTTCCTTCCCGGAAGTCATCTTCAGAACCACCTTGCCCATGCCTTCCACAGCAGACTGAGCAGAGTTTCCCATCCACACCTTTTCACCTTCAACGGTCTCAAAGGTGTTGAACATCTCTCGGTTGCAACACAAGTGCCTGGTTGCACCGGTATCAATGAACCACTCACGAGGGTTTGAGTCCACGAGGTTCACCTCGGTCACCATAGCCGAAAGGCTAATCTCGACCTCCTTCTGACTGCTATCTCCAACAACATTGGCTTCAGAACTCTTGTTCTTCTTCCTTGGAGCCTTGCATTCAGATGCTCTGTGGCCATGCTTGCCACAATTGTAGCATTCACCAGGAAACTTGTTCTTGGTAATGCCACCTTGTATGTGTATGTGTATATATGTATGTGTATGTGTATATATATATATATATATATGTATGTGTGTATATATATATATATATATATATACATATATATATATATATATATATATATATATATATATATATATACACATACATATACATATATACACATACATATATATATATATATATATATATATATATATATATATATATATATATATATATATATATATATATATATATATATATATATATATATATATATAAAGGAGATATGTGGTTGGCATATTCTATCTGTGTGTTTGTTCTAGTTTAGCTCCTGTAGAATAGATGTTAGAATAGTTGTTACAACTCCCTGCTATTTACACTCGTTTGTATACTATTATAGTTGGCTGGTTCACATCAATAAATGATCAGTTCAGTTCATAATCTTGTCATGGTATCAAGAACCTAGAAACTCCAACGAAAGTTAAAAAAAAAAATTTCTACCCAATGGCTTCCACTTCTATTACTACTACTATGGCCACAAAAGAAGTCATTCAAATAAATGCTCATAACAATTTCCCTATTAAACGTAGTACCACGAATTTCCTAGTTTGGACACACCAAGTTCACGCAACATTTTTTGGCTTCAATCTCCTGGGCTATATTGATGGTACCACCAAGGAACCAGCGTAGTTCAGCGACCCTGCTCAAACAACACTCAACCCGAGTCATTCAATTTGGTATCGTCAAGACCAAATTATCGTCAGTGCACTTCTGGGAAGCTGTACTGACACCATACAGCCCCTTATTTCCTCAGCCATGACAGCCCACGATGCGTGGGACCGTTTTGTTGCCAGGTATGATAGTACCTCACGAGGACGTATCGTATCCCTCAAGGCCAAGCTCACCAAAAATCCAAGAGGTTTTCGGTCCATTACAGCTTATCTTAATGACATGCAAGCCATCACTGATAATCTTGCATTGGCTTAGTGTCCGGTATCTGATGAAGATTTGACTGTCTACATTTTAACTTAGGTAGGGGACTAGTATAGTGCCATTATATCTGCTATCCGTGTTCGTGACTAGGGATGGCAACGGGGCGGGGCGGGGCGGGACCGGGGAATGGGGTCCCCGTTCCCGTCCCCGTCCCCGAAATGTCCCCCCATTCCCCGTCCCCACCCCGTTCCCCGGCGGGGATGGGGAAGGATGGGGAATAATTCCCCATCCCCGTCCCCGAGGGGATTTTTATCCCCGCCCCGCCCCGTGTTATTATTATTATTATTATTATTATTATTATTATTATTATTATTATTATTATTATTATTATTATTATTATTATTATTATTATTATTATTATTATTATTTTTTGTAATGCCTATTAACAAAATTAATATTAACCAAAAATCATATTGTTAAGCTAAAGAAAGTTCAAATACAAAATGCATAGCTTAATAAAATTAAAATATTTAAAGTCCAAAGTTTAAATTCTTTCAAAATCCTCCCAAGTCCAAACATAAATGCATTAGTACATAAGACATAACAAAACAAAATAAACTTTAAATCTTCAACTCTCAAGTAGTTAGCCGTGGCACTCCTCAACTAATCAACTCTTCATTAATAACCTGAAATAATAATAATAATTTGAATAATAAAATTCTAATGATATATATATATTTAGTTCAACTTTTAAACAACTTTTAAACAATATATACCTCTAAGCTTCTGCTTCTAATTCATGAGGTTGAAGTAAATTTTCATCAATTTCATAATCCTCCACGGTGTAATTACCTACAAATATTATTTGAGTATGGTAGAGTATTAAAAGTAATGGATAATCAATTAAAAATAATTTGCCCAAGTAAAATTTCTTACTTTCAAGCAACCAACTTTGACAACACATTAATGCCTCCACAATATTTGGATGAAGTCTACTACGATGAGGCGACACCAATCTACCACTAGTACTGAAAGCAGATTCTGAAGCAATGGTAGAAACTGGAATAGCTAATAAATCTTTGGCAACCTTACTCAAAGTTGGATATTTCTTTCCTTCCACTTGCCACCATGACGAAACATCCAAATCATCCTCAAATGGTGATCTCTTAGCCTCTAAATACAAGTCCAACTCTGATGTAGTCTCACTCATGTGTGAAATTTCCATAAAGTCTTTCAATTTGTCTGTAACTGGATCATCCTGAGTCAAGGTCTCCCCTTGGACGCGTTTACTTGCAACTGTTGTTGTTGAAGAAGATTCATATTCACGGCACAAATCATTACAATATGTCTTAACCCTCTCAATTTCTAATGCAGCTTTATCTCCATAAAATGTTTGAAAGAAGAATTGAACAACTCCTAACTTATATCTTGGATCAAGAACATTAGCTATAGCTAGAAATCCATGCACCACTTCCCAGTATTTATTAAACTTTGCAGTCATACTCTTAGCCATATTTGCTATCACCACATCAGTTGACTCAACCCAATTGCTCAAATTAACCTTAATCTTAGACATCAATAGGAAAAAAACATTGGAAGTTGGATATTTTCTTCCAGAAAATGCATTTGATGCTTTATAAAACACTTTCAGTTTATCACAAATGTTCTCAGCTAACTCCCAATCTTCCTCAAATGGTGCACAAAGAAATGAAGACTCTTGTTGTTCCAAATGGTAAAAAACATCTTTGTATTGCAATGCAACAGAAAGCATCAAATAAGTAGAATTCCATCGAGTCTTACAATCTTGAACTAACTGTTTTGAATATTCTAAACCCAAATGTGTTGCACTTTCTTTAAAGAGTTGTTGTCTTTTTGGTGTAGTTGGTGTAGCTAACCAAAAACTAACACTTTCTCTAACTCTTTCCAATGCATTTCCCATAACTTTTAACCCATCTTGCATTATCAAATTCAAGATATGAGCACAACAACACATATGAAAAAATTTCCCACCAAATAAAAGATGATTACGGTTAAGCTTAGACACAACGTGCTCAATTAAAACATCATTAGTTGAACAATTATCAACAGTTATTGCAGACAACTTTCTCTCAAGATTCCAATCCAAAATACATTTCAACATTTCTCTTGAAAGAGCCAATGATGTATGTGGAGTCGGGACATAAATAAACCTAACATAGATACACAATAAACCTAACATAAATACACAATCAATAATTTCACAAATTGCACACTAAATAATCAACTTGTATAAAATAATTTCCTCCAGTGAGTTCAGTTGAGTTGTAGTCGATGAGTCCCGTTATCCCGTACAGTCTCCGGCGACCATCGACCTTGAAATACCAAAAAACATCCAATCTGTGTAATTAATTAATTATTACTAGACTCATAATTTGTGTTAGTAAACCGTACCTAACAGAGTTCGATTGTTCGGATTTCCACGCCGGCCGCTGAGAGATGAGAGACCAGATCTGAGTCCTCCGGAGCAGAGAGGGAGACATCGACAGAGCACTGGTCGTCGAGGACAGAGACAGGTGTTAGCGTCGGTGTGGCAGCCGGTGCGTGGGGTGCAGGTAACGGAAATTCAAAGGGGATTGTTCTTGTCCGTTTTTTTCCATAAAACGGATATGGACTATGTGTTTAATAGGGGACCCTGGGCTTTTGAGAACAATGCACTTGTGTGTCGGGGGGTTATGGACGGGGTGAATCCTCTTGATGTGAAGCTAGACTTGATTGATATGTGGGTACAATTGCATGACATGCCGAAGGGGTATACAACTCAGGCAATTCTGGAACAGGCGGGGAATTTTTTGGGCTCTTTTGTTAAGCATGATGACCGTTTTGAAGGGGCGCCATGGCTAACTTTTCATCGTATTCGGGTGTCAATTCTGGTTGGTAGGCCACTTAGGAGGAGGATGAGATTGATGAAGAGGGATAGGACAACAACTTGGGTAAATTTCAGGTATGAACGGTTGCACAAGTTTTGTTACTTTTGTGGATATATGGGTCACTTGCACACGTTTTGTCTCCAAGCTAGGGAAGCTGGAATTCCAGTGGAAAGGTACCTGTACGGTCCGGATATGCGGGCTGGTGGATCCCGGAGCGCTCCTTGAGCGGTTGGGGATAACTGGCTCGTGCCGGTAGGCGGGAGGCCTCGTCCATTGGTGGCAAAACCACGGGTGACTGAGACAGTAGACAGGGGTCTGAGAGGTGGGGGTGTCATGCAGACGAGTATGTCTGAGGATGAGATGGTGGTGGCTACGGCAAAGCGCCGTAGGCAGGGTACGGAGAACGAGGATGATGGAGGGGAGGATGATGTAACAATGACCGACAGTTCAAAAAACTTGCCCATGGCGGGAGCTGGTGTCCAGCCCCGCCCGTCATCATGAGTACTTTGAGCTGGAACTGTCGTGGCTTGGGTAATCCATGCACAGTTTGAGAAGTAGTGGACATGGTGTCCCGTAAGAAGCCAGAGTTCGTGTTTTTTTATGGAAACCAAGGTGGGACGGAGTCATGCAGAGAGAGTCAGTGTCAGGCTTGGATATGATGGATTGTTTTATGTGAATAATGAAGGGTTGAGTGGGGGGATGGCTCTCCTATGGAAGAAAAACAACACTGCTAGGTTGATGAGTTACTCGCCAAACCATATTGATATCGAGGTTAGTATGACTGGCAAAATTTGGCGTATGACATGCTTATATGGGTGTCCGGATCGAAACAGGAGGGAGGAAACTTGGGAGCTGCTGGGTATGTTGAGGAATAGATCTGGGTTGCCCTGGGTGGTGATAGGGGATTTTAATAATCTTCTCTATCAACATGAAAAGAGGGGAGGGAATCCGTATCCGAATTGCCTCTTGCGTGGGTTTGGGGATACCATTGATGAGTGCGGGTTGATGCAGATGCCGATGCGGGGCCGTCAGTTCACATGGGATAAGAGTAAAGGCACACCGAGTTGGATACAGGAGAGGTTGGATAAGGTATTTATAACAGAGGAGTGGGGTGGTATGAATGAGAATGCATAGGTGGAAAATCTTCAGAATAGAGAATCGGATCACTCGGCTTTGTCTCTAAATATAAATGCTCTCGGCATACGGAGAGTAAGAGGGCCGAGGAGGTTCAGATTTGAGAACGCATGGTTATTGGATGAGGGGTGCAAGGTGGTGGTGGAGACAGCCTGCAGGAGGAGAGGCCGGAGGGCTTGTTGCACTGTCAGCAGTTTTGTGGCGTGAAGTTAATGCGGTGAGGGGGAGGGGGGGGGGGGGGGGGGGGACCAATTCCATAAGTTTGGTCACCGAATCGGGCAGTTGCGGAGACAACAGGAGATGTTCCGTGATGTAACGAATCCGGTCGCATTGGCCAAGTTCCAGCGAAATGAGAATCAGCTCAAGCAATTGGAGGCCCAGAAGGATGTGTTTTGGAGACAGCGGGCAAAACAACACTAGCTCCGGGGCGCGAAAGCTAACACCAAGTTCTACCACAGGTATGCTTCTGCCCGTAGAAAGAAGAATTTTATTGCTAGTATTAAAAATAGTGGTGGTGATTGGGTGGAGGACGGGGATATGTATTCGGTCATACTGGATTATTTTAAAGCCATTTTTACTTCTAATAATTTGAGCTGTGATGATCCCCTTTTTAATGATTTTTCTCCCCGGGTGTCGGCCGAGAATAATGAGATGTTGAATCGGCCTTTTTCTGTGGAAGAAGTAAAAACTGCGTTTTTTTCTATGTTCCCGGATAAAGCAGCAGGCCCGGATGGAATGAATCCGGGTTTCTACCAGCATTTTTGGTCTGTTGTGGGAGATGATGTGACTGGTTTTATATTGCATGCATTGAATTCTGGGTTATTTCCGGAAGGTCTGAAGATACTAACATAGTATTAATTCCTAAAAAAGAGGTCTCAGAGTCTGTTGCTGATTTGAGACCATTGCGTTGAGCAATGTCATTTATAGAATAATGGCTAAAATGTTTGACAAACAGAATGAAAACGCTAATGGGTGATATCATCTCGGAATCCCAAAGCGTGTTTATTCCTGGCAAGTTAATTACAGATAATATTTTAGTGGCAGCTGAGGTGGGTCACTACTTGAACATGAAACAGTGTGGTGTGGTTGGCTACAGTGCATTGAAGTTGGACATGTCGAAAGCCTATGATAGAATGGACTGGAATTTTTTGGAAAGAATGTTGGTGGTGCTGGGTTTTAGTGATAGATGGGTCCGGCTGATAATGCTGTGTGTGACAACGGTGAACTATACGGTGATGGTGAATGGGGAGGTAGGAGGACGAGTCAAACCGACTCGTGGGCTCAGACAAGGAGACCCTCTATCCCCTTATTTATTTATTTATTATCTGTGCTGAGGCACTCTCGATGTTGTTGCAAAAGGAACAGGTTGCAGGATCTATACATGGATGTAGAGTGGCCAGGGGGGGCGCCTCCGGTATCCCATTTATTTTTTGCAGATGACAGCTTGCTTTTCTTGAAAGCAAATATTCATGAAGCTAATGTGGTTAAACAATGCTTGGTGAGATATGAGAAGCTATTTGGACAGGTAGTGAATTATAACAAGTCGAACATATGTTTCAGTCGAAATACCCAGCATATGGCCAGAACGCAGGTGGCGAACTGCCTTGAGGTTGTGCAGGCAAATAATTTTGGAAAATATCTGGGCCTCCCATCGTTTGTGGGAAGGAATAAAAATGCAGTTTTTTCCTATGTGGAGGAAAAGATCAGGCAAAAGATTGGATCGTGGAATAAAAAATTGTTATCTCAGGCTGGTAAGGAGGTTTTATTGAAATGTGTGGCTCAATCTATGCCAACCTTTTCGATGAGTGTCTTTTTGTTGCCTGAAACAGTTTGTCAATCCATTGAGAGAACCATGAAAGATATTGGTGGGGAAGTGGCAGAGAAAGGGGGATACATTGGAAGGCATGAGATAAATTGTGTATCCCCCAAAAAATTTGGTGGACTGGGTTTCAAGGAATTGAGAGCATTTAACTTGGCTATGCTGGGTAAGCAGGCATGGCGTTTTCTTACGGATCCAGGATCTCTGGTGGCAAGAATATACAAAGCCAGGTATTTCCCCACTTCTAGCTTTGTTGATGCAACTATTGGAAATTGCCCAAGTTTTTGTTGGAGGAGTATAATGGCCAGCAAACCCAGTAGTGGTAGTTGGGGTAAGGCGCAGAATTGGTAATGGTGAGGCAACTCTAGTTTGGGGACACCCATGGCTCCAGGATAATCCAAGTCCCTTGGTACAAACAGTTATGCCTGAGGAGTTAAGAGATGCACGAGTAGCAGGTTTAATAGACCCATAAACAAAAACATGGGATCCACATATTTTGACAGATTTATTTATCCCTGAGGATGTGAGCACAATAATTATGATTCCTGTTAGCCCTGATTATGATGACTCATGGTACTGGATAGGTGACCCAAAAGGGATTTATTCAGTGAAAAATGCTTACAGGCGAATTATTGGGTGATTATGAGAATAACCCAAGTGATTTTGATAAATGGGTTAAGATGTGGAAATTAAAAGTACTACCCAAATGGAAGACTTTTTTGTGGAGAGCAGTATGTGATATTCTACCCACTACCACGAATTTAATTAATAAGAGAGTGGAGATTGACTCGACATGCCCTATGTGTATGATTAGTCACGAAGATGTGTTGCATGCATTAGTTTATTGTGAATATTCTGCGTTAGTTTGGAATATAACACAATTGCCTATCACAAACATTGTTACAGATTCGTTCGCAGCATGGCTAACTGGCGGCTATGGTGGCCTTAACAGAGGAGCAGACACAGTTCATGGCGGGGGTTCTCTACAATATTTGGAGATGTCGAAATACGGCCGTGTGGAAATGAGCCATGTCACGGCCGCAATCGGTGGTAAAGGGGGGCGGCAACGATGCTCCAGGCATATGGCGATGTACACAGCCGCGCCACACGGGTGGAATCGCCGCCGCAATCAGAACCGGAGTTGGCCCGACAATCACATGCGATGTTATATAGATGCGCGCTATCGGCAGGAAACCGGGGAGGCTACGTGTGGAATTGTGTTAGTAGAGCCCAGGGGTTCGTTTGTTGCGGCGAAGAATGAAAGATTGTCCTCTTGTTTTTCACCACTCATGGCGGAAGCATTGGCATTTAAAGAAGCGCTGTCTTGGCTGATTGAAAGGAATGTTTACTCAGTGTGTTTTCTTATAGATTGTATGGTACTGCGAAACACCATATAATAAGAACCAGTACACATGGAATCCAATAAGGTTCTATAGTGGGCTCATCACAAGGCCCATAACTACATCCTTAAAGAATCATTGGTGGAAGAAACAAGAAGGCCCAATAATAATTCCATTCGATAGAGGAAAGTATTATAGTGGCCCATTTCAAGTGATATCATGGATCGAAAACAATGCTTACAAGATTCGAGGTCGAATCATTTTCAAGAAGGTGAGGATGATGCCGCCCAACATAATGAAGATCCATCAAGAGTACCAATTGGGCCAATCACAAGGCCCAAGTCCAAACGATTAAGACAACTCTTCATTGGTGATATTCAAAGATGGTGGAAATCCAAGTCAAGCCCATTTGCAAAAGATGAAGAAGATTTCAAGGCTTTAATTCAATGAAATTCTTAAGTTTTTCTTTACACTTGTGTAAGAAACCTTATGTCTAATTGTGGACTCAATTAGTGGCTAGTCGTGGACTAGACTAGCAAATTGATTCGTGGACTCGAATCAATCTTCCTTTCTTCAATCAAAGATATAGGTTCGTGGACTCGTTCTTGAATCGAAGGAAACTAGATCCGACTCTAGTTGATTGAAGATTGCAACATCGAGGTACTTGAAGCTACAATGGGATTCTTCCAAGTCTTTGAGGATTCGAGACAAAGGGTTTCTCGTGAGGTTTAAGGTATTTCGATCCATCTCTATCTTTACTTTGAGAGCACTCTTGGGACAATACTCCATCTTATTTGAATCTTGGATTAGGTTCATATCACCATACACCAACGGTCTACATCCATTCACTCATATGTTGGGGTGATAATCGACCAGTGCAGAACAATGATGTCTTTATTTAATTTTATTTCGTTAAGCTATGTGCCTAGACAGATTAATTTACATGCTCATACTTTAGCTTCGTTAGCTTTTACTCAGGAACACTCTATGTATTGGGATGCTATCTCTCCTGACAGTATTACAGCTTTCATCAATTAATACAATCGGCGAATTGGTTTTTCAAAAAAAAAAAAAAGAAGTCACAAGCAGATGCGTCTTTATTTGTTTATTCTGATAATAATATTGTTGTTTATTTCCTGGTATATGTGATGATATTGTATTAATAGGAAATGATGTTTCGTGGCTTGATAAGTATTAAAGACTCTGTCCGCTCAATTTTCTCTTAAGGACCTTGATCGCTTACATCATTTTCTAGGCATTGAGGTAGTTCCAACACGTAATGGCGTGTTCCTGTCTCAAAGTTAATATATCACGGACATACTGGTTCGGTTTAAGATGGATGGTGCAAAGTCTGTTTCAACACCACTGACAACTACATACAAATTGCTCCCTGCGCAATCTGGCAGTGCAACGATAGATGTAACTCAGTTTCGGCGTCTCCTTGGGCTGCTGCAGTACTTGATCATCACTAGGCCTAATGTGTCCTATGCAGTTAATCGTCTCTTCCAGTTCATGCATACGCCTACGGAGATGCACTAGCAGGCTGCTAAGCGTTGTGACGCTATCTTAAGGTACAGTGTGTCACGGACTGTTCCTTCGTGCTAGGCAACCACTGTCACTAAATATGTATACAGATGCTGATTGGGGAGGCTGCACCACTGATGGCCGTTCCACCACCGTGAACTTAATGTATCTTGGTTTCAATCTCATTTCTTGGAAGTCCACACGCCAGAAGTTTGTGTCACGCTAGTCGACAGAGTCTGAATGCCGAGCCTTGGCGAATGCTACTGCAGAAGTCTTTTGGATAAAGAATTTGCTCCATGAGCTTCGGTTGCAACTGGTGAAACCTCTGGTTCTATTCTGTGACAACCTTAACGCGATGTATGTGTCCAAGAACTCGGTATTTCATCCGCGTATGAACCATCCGCTCGATTATTTCTTTGTCTATGACTTGGTTTCTAATGGTTCATTGGTAGTATGGCACATCCCTCCGTCGGCTCAGCTAGTTGGCTGCCTCACAAAGCCGTTGGGCCGTTCTATGTTTCTTCTATTCCTGTCCAAGATTGGAGTCTCCGACGGATCCTCAATCTTGCGGGGGTGTGTTAAGGAGATATGTGGCTGACAAATTCTATCTGTGTGTTTGTTCTAGTTTAGCTCATGTAGAATAACTGTGTTAGAATAGTTGTTACAACTCCCTGCTATTTACACTCATTTGTATACTATTTATTATAGCTGGCTGTTTTACATCAATAAATGATTAGTTCAGTTCAATTCATAATCTTGTCAATATATATATATATATATATATATATATATATATATATATATTATATATATATATATATATATATATATATATATATATATATAAAATGGAG